ACGCCACAGATTATGAACAGCTGAACACGTGGGATGCGAGGGACGTCGCGGCTCGGCCTCCTCAAAAAGCAAAACTGACATCGTGACGCCAGCCATAGGACACCACCTCTCTTATTTAAAAAATAGAATAAAATCGGGTTGCTAAAGGTGCCAGTGGTTTGCTGTGTTGTCGCAGATAATACCAGAGGTGCTTCAGAGACCTTGGAATATTTTGCATGCATTAGAATAGGAATGCATGCAACACCCTTGTAAGGAAGTCGTCTTCATAGAATTGTAAAGCTGGAAGGGACCACAAGGCTCATCTAGGAGCAACATTGTGGGAGGGGGGTTTTATAGCTATCCCCCACCCTTGAAAGCTGCTGCAAGACTATAAGCAACATCGTGGGAGGCGGGTTTCTAGGACCAAGGGGAAAACTGCCATGCTCTCTCATTATTTCTGCTATTGGATACTGGATGTTTATGTAATCCTGTTATATTTATAGTACTGAAAGTTTGCTTTTGGTATGTTCTCATGTTTGTTATTGTGTTGTTTTGGTATGCTAGTGTGAAATTGCTTTTGGGTGTTCAGACCCATAGACCTCCCCCCCCCCCAAATAAAGACACATTTGACTCAAATTTTAGTTTTGTTTTTTGGCAGAATTTAGGCCACAACTTTATTGATTACAGGAAAATGAGTGGTTGCATAAGCTCTGGTTTGACTAGCTCCCTACACCCTTGCAGGTAGCTCTGACCCAGAGCTCAATCATAGGTCAGCCAAGGGTGAACACCTGAGGCAGGTGAAAAGCCTGGGAACAGACTCTGTTCACTCCCCAGATGCTCGCTTTCAGGGGTTGACCAAACCAAGTTGAGTTCCTGGATTCCTTTAACGGAATACCCTTCACATAGGGATGGCGAGAGCGTTCTCCCATCCCTATCACTTGAACCAGAGCCTATCAGCAACCTTACAAGTTGTGACGAATTGGTACGCGGCAGGCGAAACCCAAATGGCCACAGCCAATCAGCCAAGTGGGGAAAATTCCTGCCATACCCCTGTCCCAACGACCGACGACACACAACAGCATAGCAAGGTCAATCGCAAAATGCCCTAAAAGTAGGGAGAGGTGAGTGGGTGTTCCGATGCCAAAAGAGGAAGCTCTGGGACACGTGCGTGGGTTTATATAGGTCCCTCGATCCATTTAGACTGCACCCCATTGGCCAGATTAAACCCAATATCAAGGGACCTCCCAAACGGGTGTTGTAGCTATCCAGTAGACCCACCCACAACCATTCTGGTCTTGTTAAATAGGCGGGTGGGGGGGAGAAGAAGTTGGAATGAATAAATCACCATTAAAAGAACAGATTCTTCGAACATCCCTAAGACAACATGTGTAGGGTGTGTCTCATTGATTTCAATAGGACCTAAGCATATTTAACTTTCCCTCATTGAGGGTCAATATATGGAATAAAGTCACAGTGAAATTAGGACTTCTGTTTAGCCCCCAAGCTGGAATCAGTTAGCTTATTATTAGCTTATTATTATCTTATTATTATTATTATTTTGCATTTTCTAAATTGGGGTTCAGGCATTTAGAACTGGGAAGGAAATCTATACAGCTTTTGGATGAGCGTCTCAGTTGCAATGGAGCTGAGCTCAGCTTCACTCCATTGAAATAAATGGGTCTAGTGCCTTGATCCTGACCATGTTTAACTGGAAGTAAGTGCCATTTATTTCAGTGGCGTCCTCTAAGTGGATGGATTTCAGATTACATCCTAAATCGACTTAAGTGATCCAACATAAGCAGCCAATGGATTAGGCTACTTAGGATATTTTGCAAATTACATCAAGATAAGTATTATTTGTTGTCTGCAATTTGTCGCTTTGTTTATTAATGGCTAGGAAAAGAAATTGATTTAGCTGAGTGCTCCAAAAATTAAAATTGTTTTGTTAAATTCACATTACCTACAGTTGCTTTATTTTTTCCCCTTGATCTATTCAAATTAATCAATTAAAGTGCACAGATGTTCAATTAAACCTATAAAAATTTTGCATGGCTGCAGCTGTTTCTCAAGACTCATTGTTGGAAATTTTTTTTTAACATATCTAGCAACGACTCACTCTCAGAAGAAATTAAATTAATTACTCTTTGCAGGATTGTTTTTTCCATTGATGAATTAAAAGAAATTAGAAGTAACCTATAAGGAGATGTGTGCAGCTTGCTACATTTATTAATTAGAATGATAGACTGGCATATGAAAAATATGGCAGGCATCACACAAAAACCTTTAAGTCCCGTTGATTTCAGTGGAAGAGTTAAGCACTTGCTTAACTATTTCCTAGTAAAATCAATGGGAGCTGCAATCAGTGGGAGTGCTTAATAAGGCTGCTGATCAGTTAGATCATTTTAATCATTTCCCTTTGAACCCTTTCAACCAATGAATCGGGTAATTGATTATATTTGAATAAATGCACATATTCCAAAGCCCTCCACCGAGGTGCCTTTTTTGAGCTACTGGTTCAAATTGGACCACCTTAATTAACATGGTTTCCGCCATTGGTTAATCAACTGAAGTCACAGTTGATTAATCTGTCAAAAAAATGGATGAAATTTTAAAACGGAAGTAAATCTGGCTGAGTTTGATGGGGATTGCTCCCAGATATGTATGGGCAGTATTGAAACTTTAAAAGATATATTTGGATGGATCAAACTGAGGGAGGAGCAGGGACACAAAAATGGAAAACAGCTCCACATCTACGTTGCCACTCTTCATTTATGAAAGGCATGAAGTGACAGCAATTAATATCGCCCTGGAGATCAATGGATATGAAAGGCACAGTGATGATCAGAAGCCAAAATATATATGTGATTTGTATGAGAGTGTCCTTAGATATAAATTTTAAATGACCTAACACTGATTTTGAAGGGACACGGGTGGTGCTGTGGGTTAAACCACAGAGCCTAGGACTTGCTGATCAGAAGGTCAGTGGTTCGAATCCCCGCGATGGGGTGAGCTCCTGTTGCTCGGTCCCTGCTCCTGCCAACCTAGCAGTTCGAAAGCACGTCAAAGTGCAAGTAGATAAATAGGTACTGCTCCGGCGGGAAGGTAAACGGCGTTTCTGTGCGCTGCTCTGGTTCGCCAGAAGCGGCTTAGTCATGCTGGCCACATGACCCGGAAGCTGTACGCCGGCTCCCTCGGCCAATAAAGCGAGATGAGTGCTGCGACCCCAGAGTCAATCACGACTGGACCTAATGGTCAGGGGTCCCTTTACCTTTACCTTAACACTGATTTTGGAAGTGGAGGTTTGATGGTCTTTCGGCAGAAATATCACCGGGCACCTTAAGGGCTAAGGTCACATCCACACGATACATCTGACACTTTAACAGTCTTGTCCCCCTGAGAACCATACACACATAGCACATGGCACTACTTAGCATCTGTTTCAGGAGACAATGGAGGAATCTACCTTTGGGGGTGAGGTCAAGCTTTTGGATGGCTGCAGTGCTTGCTGTGGCTGCAGAGAGCAATAGAGGAGAGACATGTTTTGCTGCATCTGGGGCAGGTGAAGGTGTCTGCTTGTGCTGCTGCAGAAGCAGCATGGTTTTGCTTCTCTCTGCGCTCCTCCCGGCAGTCATTCCTCCTCTGGTGACTGCTATGGATACACCACTTGAATGCCTGTCTCCAGGCACTGTGGTCATCTACAAGGGATTCCCACACGGCAGAGTCACAAATAAGGGAAAGCCTGAGTGGATTTTAGAATATGATTGGTTTTAGCAAGATTCTTGCATGTAAGAATCTTCACAGAACCTCCAAGAGTCTCTGTTTCCAGGGACACTCCCAGATTTACAGAAGCCACCCTGGTCTTTGATTTGATCCAGAATGCCCCACTTTTCCTAAGGACATTCCTATTTTCATTGGAGAAATGTTGGGGGCTATGGTATGCGACCCCCCAAGCCAAGGAGATAAGTACAGTATTTTTCGCCCTATAGGACGCACATTTTCCCCTCCAAAAATGAAGGGAAATGTGTGTGTGTCCTATGGGGCGAATGCAAGCTTCGCTGAAGCCTGGAGAGCGGAGAGGGTCGGTGCGCACCGACCCCTCTCGCTCTCCAGGCTTCAGGAAGCTCTGCGCAACCCTCGGGAGACCGGCTCCAAGGGTTGCGCAGAGCTGCCTGCAGTCCTGGGCTCAGCGCAGCTCTGCACGGCCATCGGGAGCCGGCCGCGAAGTCCCGCCCAGCTCCTGATGGCTGCGCAGAGCTGCCTGCAGTCCCGGGCTCAGCGCAGCTTTGTGCAGCCATCGGGAGCGGGGTGCGAAGTCCCGCCTGGCTCCCTGTGGCTGCGCAGAGCTGCCTGCAGTCCCGGGCTCAGTGCAGCTCTGCGCGGCCATCGGGAGCGGGGCCCAGCTCCCGATGGCTGCGCAGAGCTGCCTCCAGTCCCAGGCTCAGCGCACTTCTCCCCATCGCCAGCCCCACAAGCTCGGGGGACAGTGGGGAGGCGGAGCGCGCCTTCTCACTGTTCCCCAACCTGGTTCTTCCAGCCCCGCACCTGGGGGGGGAAATAAAAGTTTTTTTCTTTTTTTCTCCCCCCAAAAAACTAGGTGCGTCCTATGGGCCGGTGCGTCCTATGGGGCGCAAAATACGGTAACTACACAACCTTTAGAAGACACCTGAACATTAAATGTTTAATGCTTTATTATGTGTTTATATATGTTGGAAGCCACCCAGAGTGGCTAGAGCAACCTAGTCAGATGGGTGGGGTCTTCTTCTTCTTCTTCCACCAGATGTCAAAGAGAACAACAACTACCAGACTTTTAGAAGACATCTGAAGGCAGCCCTGTTCAGGGAAGCTTTTAATGTTTCATGTATTAGAGTATTTTAATATTTTTTTCGGAAGCCGCCCAGAGTGGCTGGGGAAGCCCAGCCAGATGGGCAGGGTACAAATAATAAATTATTATTATTATTATTATTATTATTATTATTATTATTCAACATCCCTGTTTTCATCAGAGAAATGTTGGAGGGTATGCCTTCACTGCGTAGGGGCAACAATTTCTGTGAAGATGAGGAGGCCCAAATGTAGGGTTCCCCATATTTCAAAGAGTAAAAACCAGGACACCTCAAAATTGAGGTGAGCCTCTCCCCCCCCCCCCCCCGGAAAACACCAAAAGAACACATTTTCTTGGTTTACTTGCTGAAGATTCAGGACAAACTGTCACCTTCTGGAAATTTCCCCGGACGTCACTTTGGCTTTTGAAATCCCAGCAATGTCCAGAAAATCCCAGACGTATGGCTGCCCTACCAAATGAATCTGAGGCAAGAGCTCTGGGATAGCAGACCGTGAAAGGCAAAGGCTGTAGCTTAGTGGTAGAACATTAGCCTTGACTGAAGAAGGTTCTAGATTCAAGCACTGGCATCTCCAAGTAGGACTGGGAATGTCCTTTTGTCTGAAACCCTGGATAGCCGCTGCCGCTCAGTGCCCTGAGCTAGAAGGCCATTGATCTGTCTCAGCAGAAGGCATCTTCCTATGTTCCTATGGAGACCAGCAAAGGCAGATAATTAATGACAGGCCTTTTTTAATTTTTAAAAAACGGAGTGAGGAGAAACTGCAGCAACAAGCCTCATGACCCATGGACTGAATAACACAGAGTCCACCCCTCCTCCTCCCTTTTTAAATTTACACTCAAGGGGTTGAACTGGAAATTTCAACAGACGCCATCTTGGAAGCACTCAGAGCCTCGACAGATGGAATCTTACTGTTCCTGAGGGACTGCGAAATGCTGCCTGCGTCCCAGCGGGAATGCCTCGCGGTTAACGTAATGGAAATATAGTGCAGGGATTTTATGTGACTTTCTGATCAGTTAAGGTCCCCCCTCGCCACCACCGCCACCTAATAAAATCTGGAATAGATAAAAGAGGAAGATAATATCACGACAATGTCAGTGCACCAGTGGAAAATGGAGGGAAATAATAAAGGCAAGAACATTCCCCGATTTAACCAGGATGAGAGGCTGGTAGCAGTTTGACAGGTTTCCTTCCCACTCACGGAAGGAGGGGAAACACTTAGCTGACTGAATGAAAAGGCCTCTTATTTCAGAGCTGGAAATGAGCAGCCTGCCTTCAGTTTGGTGCCGCTGTGTATGAAACCGTGGGCAGTTCCCGCTGATAGATGTTATGTAAAGTTAAAGGAGGCATTTTCCTTCCCCTTATTCTGCATACAATTTCCCTTCTGCCTTTTGGGCCACAGAGGAACCCACAATTCCCCGGCAATGCAAGGAATTGTGGGTATACTGGTTTTGGTTTCTAGGACCAAATGTGCTGCCTGCCATGTGCAGAAGAGGCTACCTTTGAAGGTGACTCAGAAATTACAGCCAATCCAGAATGTGGCTGCTAGACTGGTGACTGGGAGTAGCCACCAGGACCATATAACACCAGTCCTGAAAGACTTACATTGGCTCCCATTATGTTTCCGATCATAATTCAAAGTGTTGGTGCTGACCTTTAAAGCCCTAAATTGACTCAGCCCTGTATACCTGAAGGAGCATCTCCACCCCCATCCTCCAGCCCGGACACTGAGGTCCAGCTCCGAGGGCCTTCTGATGGTTCCCTCACTGCCAGAAGTGAAGCTACAGGGAAGCAGGCAGAGGGCCTTCTTGGTAGTGGCACCCACCCTGTGGAATGCCCTCCCAGCAGATGTCAAGGAGATAAGTAACTATACCCACCTTTAGAGGACATCTGAAGGCAGCCCTTCATGCATAAGGTCCATACATATGTAAGTGTCTATTCCACCTGTCTGTTCATAGAGTCCAATAATTCACATGAAGGGTTGTTCCAGTTCCACGGAATCCTTTCAGGCTAATATTCCGGAAATCCTTGTCTTAGATTCTGTGAAAGGATTCTGTGGAACTGTAACTATAACAACCCTTCATGTGGATTATTAGACTCTACGAACAAACAGGTGGAATAGACACTTATACATGTATGGACCTTATGCATGAACTGACTAGAGAATGAACTGATCTACTGGGTCTTCTGCTTTTTTCGTTGAACTTGATGAAACTTCAGTTAAAATCTACAGTTTGATACAATAATAGTATACCTCATTTATTCAAAAGTACAGCCGATTACGTCTTGTGTGTTTATTGAATAAAATACATGGCATCTTCAGGTAGGACTGGGAGACACTCCTGGCTAAAACCGTGGACAGTCACTGCTGGTCAGTGTTGATAATACTGAAGCGATGTGGAGTCTTAGACGAATCGCCTTGCTTGGTACATCAGGGAAATCGCACCTGCTAAAGAGGAAAGAAACCCCTTAAAGATTCGACTGCAGAAAATTATTCCAATTACATTAATATTTACATGTTTTCTGTAAAAAATAAGGAGATGCCATCTTGTGGCAGGAAAGATTTGTGAGTTGTGACTGGTTTTTTAAAAAAATACTCCAAAATATACGTTCCTTGTTGTCTGTATGTGGCGTGTTTTCGGGAAATGGATAAAAACACATTACTTTAAGAAAACATTGCACAAATTCATTATAATGAACTGAAGAAACCTGAGAAGTGCAGTAGTAAGGTAATTGTCGGGAATACAGTAATAAGCAAAACACTGTGTTGTTTAAAAGGGCCTGTTCTTAAAATAGACACACTCCAGCCCAAGTCAAACAACTGAAAGTTCCTAATGGTGCAATGCTATAAATTTCTAACTGGGGGAGGTACACAGATCCCAGGATTCCCCTTGTACCTCTATATGTGCATTAAAAAAACACACCCTGATCTGTTCTTGACTCACTTTGTGTTCTCTCTGCTCTGATTTGTGCTCCAGGTTCTGAGCTGTTCTGTATAAAACGCAGCTCTATGTTACCCCATTCAGTATAATGGGGAATTTAGAATTGACCATAACCTTTCCACTATCTGGACAAAGTGGATGAAATGTGCAGACACTGGTGTCCCTCCGGTGTGGATTAAGCCTGCCAAACTGTACAGATACATCTAGGGGTTTTCATATAGGACACCTTTGTTTTTTAAGAAAAAAAAGGAATAATCGATAATATATCGTGGGACTCCTGCACGTTTAGTGACAGAACTGGATCCAGGAGGTAGCATGGATGCAGCATTCCATCTCTTATAGAAAAGTGATACATTGTGAAACCATTTGGCTCTCGGTCAAAATTCATTTCAATGTATTAAAGCAAATGGAAATTTTAATAGATGTATATCAGGTACAACTGTGCCATGTAGTCCTACTCAGAGTAGACCCATTGAACTCAATGAACATAAGTTCATTAACTTCAATGGATCTACTCTGAGTAGGACTTGAATGGCATGTCACCCTATGATTTTGTAGACTCTTGTGAGTTGGAACTTTATGAGATAAACACACAGGCATGAGTCAACTCAGGTTTGTGGGGGAGATAGGTATTTTCAGGATCTCAGGATCAGGGCCTCCATCCTTCTTACCAACAGAGCCTCATAAAATGCCTGAGGTCATCACCAGGGTTGGTCAAGAATATGGAAAGTTCCTCCCCACCGCCCCTCAAGAATAATAATAATAGAAAATCCTTTGCTTTAATTATCAAGCCACCTCTAATTATTATTGCTACTAATTTGCCACTGAAACAGTATTTCCTTGGGAGAATGACCTATTCATTGAAAAGGGGAGAAAATACTAATTTTTAAAATCACCTCCATCTCAAGAGCTGTAATTGAGGTTAGGAAGTTCTGGTGGATTAACAGGTTACCACTATTGTTTCAATATGGGGGGAGGGGGCTGCATGGCGAGGTTCTCGGATGAGTTGTATAAGTGCTCGACCCCTGAGCACGTGCAGCGAGCTCAAGTGATTTTTAAAGTGAAGGCCCTAAGCTCCATATTAGAAATTAATCATGAGATGTTTTGGTGATAACATCGTCCTCATTTGAAAATGTAATTTATTAATCAGCATAATACCTGTTTCAAAGCAATGTGCAGTCCCTAGTAATAAGCTGATGGTAGCAGACATCTTTCTTTCATGGTGTTGGCTGTTGCAGCAGTAGAACAAGGAGACAAAAATCCACACACACACACACACACACACACACACACACACGGTGGGGTAAATTGCAGGGCTGAGATGCTTCCTATGTTTGTTGAATCAATTAATGGTTTTAAAACTCTAAGGATCAATTAAAGAATCACAGGGATGGAAGGGGCACTGTAGACCAGGCTTCCTCAAACTCAGCCCTCCAGATGTTTTTGGCCTACAACTCCCATGATCCCTAGCTAGCATGACCAGTGATCAGGGATGATGGGAATTGTAGTCTCAAAACATCTGGAGGGCTGAGTCTGAGGAAGCCTACTGTAGACCATCTACTTCAATGGCCTCCAACTCTTGACAGGACATCCCAAAGAACACAGGAACTCCTCTTCTACTAAAGATGGACTGTTGGTCAGCATTGTCTACATCAATGGACAGTGACTCTGGGATTCCAGGCAGAAGTCATCTGGAGATGTTTGGGACTAGACCTGGGACCTTCTACATGCAAAGCAGTTATGCTACCACTGAGCTGCAGTCCTTGTCCAAAGGGCTGGAGCAATATACCTCATTTACACCATTTTGTTTACCTAACTTGCCCACATTCAATTTATAGTATCATAGAATCACAGAACTGTAGAGTTCAAAGGGGACCCGAGAGTCAACTAGTCATCCAGCCCCCCAGAAGTTCCCACAAGTCATACATTTGTCCGAGGTCAGAAATGGAAACCATGCAACATAATATGAATGGTACTCACTTGTGGTTTTTTAGTCTGTGAACTTTAAGCCAATAGCTACACTGTTTTCTCTTCTCCCAAAATGTGTTGAAATTAATTACACAGTTCATGGCGTAGGGTGGTATTCAATGAAATCCTTCTCAAAGTAGACCCACTGAAATCAATGAAACTAAGTTAGTCATGCCCATTAACCTCAGTGGGTCTACTCTGAGCATCACTAACATTAAATACCACCCATAAGTTTTGGCCATAGTGGTGACAAATAGCATTGGTTTTAGCAGAAGCTGAACTGTAGTGGAATTGAAACGACGGTAGTTGCTACGAACACAAAACGGGACAGAAATTGCTGCCTCCTTACAGCCCTGGTTCTGCGTGTGCATGTATAGGATCGAGCTAGGACTAAACTAAAGCTTCCAAAAGTTTGTGAGTTTGAAACAGACAGGCAAGAAATGAACCCACGAAGGAAGGGAGCTGCAGCCATAAGCGACAGAGAGAGAAAGTTAATGATTCAGTGTTAATTCCTGGAATTTTCCCTCAAATGCAAAAAAGAAGAAAAAAGAAAAAAGAAAAAGAAAAGAAAAGAAAAAAGAAAAAAGGAGGAGGAGAGAAGATGGTAATTATTTTTCATGTCTGAAATTTCTCAGTTCTCTTTTAAATATTGCATATTCCTGGCTGCATTGACAGCTTGCTCTAGCTTGAGGACATGCTTGCGTGATAACTATTCATGAGAGGAACAGCTGAAGAAGAGTCGCCTTGCTCCTGCTTGGCAAGTGGCGGCGATTTCGATGCTCTGAAGTTGTACCCTGTGGCCATGCAACGTTATTTCCCAAAAGATCCCTGAAGTTGTGGGGTCAAAGGTGATTCCTGCATCTCAAAACATGCTTGGGTCATCAGTGGCAGGGAGTCCCTGAGCTTCGAGAGGCAAACGTTGAACCTTGGTGATCTCTCCTGTACCTACGGTGGCAGCTCAGGTCCTTGTGTTCCATCTGGGTGGGATTCCTGCCACTTCTAGCCTTCCCCTTTCTTCTTGGGAGTGCAGGAATCTGCCTTATACAGAGACACACCCATTGTTCTGTCAAGCTCTGCATTGTCTTCATGCAGCATGGAACACCCTGTGGCGATCACACAGGGTCCCCGGACATTTCACCGTCTTTTGATCCCTGTGCCACCACCTGATTTCTCACTGCCACCACCCAGGCCCTACCTGGGACAATACTGAGTCCAGTCAGGGTTAAAGTGGAACATAAACTTTTGTTTATTTATTGCAGTTTAACAAGCGTGTGGTTTCATAAACGGTATCGGTCAATTGCAGTCATGGGGTGCCTATCCAGACCTATAACTTCCGCTACCTGCTCTCACTCACTAAGCCACCTCTCAGATATTTACTTGTCTTCCTAGCCCCTAACTGTTCCTGACTCAGCCTATTTCGTTACACTAACTCAACCTACCCACAAACTCTAGCCCAATTCACTCCCACTCCAACCAACCACCCAACGCCCAACAAACTCCTCAACAAACTCCTTACAAATGCCTCCCTTTGCCCCTCCCAGAGCTGGTTTTATAGTCCCACTGACTCCACCCCCTGGGTCCTGTCTGGGCAACCTGTTTAACTAGTTCACCTCCAGCACTCTCGCATATGTTAACGTCACATACAGGAGGACTTTTTTTTAAAAAAGCCACTTCCGCACTACGGAGGAGGTGGGGTTGCGGGCGTCACGGCCCCAGCATGCGCACAGCGGCTGGAGCCCAGCCCTCGCGTGATTGGCGGGATTCCCGGGCATGTCACCCCCTGGCCAGCCAATCGGCTGGTTCAGGGGGCGTGGCCTGCTCTATTTAAGGCAGGACGCGGCCGGGGATCCCCTCTTTGCCACTCATCAGCTGTTCCTGCTTTTCCCACTCTCCCGCCCCACAAGGTTTTTGTTCCTGGACCTTGCTATGGACCTTGGTTGGTCACCGTTGAGGGGCCTGGTAGGAATTTTTCCACTTGGCAAATTGGCACCAGCCACTTGGTTTTTGCCTACCTCATAGCAAATCGTCACAACTTTTGTGGTACTGGTGGTTAGGC